CCCCCCATCCATTTGATGCTTGATTTCTGGACCATTTAGTAGACCTGGTTTAAACAAAAACGACCCCGTTTTCACAAACATTCGTTGCCTTTGATACACACAGAACAAAAACATCCAGTACAAATTGAACGTAAAGATGAATGGCCTTTTTAACCAACTCCATGAGGTCAAAAACAGTCCTGCCCCAGAAGACTCAACCAAATAACTAAAATAATTACTCTTTAAAACTGTTATAATGCTTTGCTTAAATTGTCGATTACTCAAACGCCCAAGTGACCATTGGCGTTGATTAACGTGATTCAAATGCCTAAACACCGTCATACTGTCATTTCTAAGGCGGTTGAATTACACAGATTTTCATAGCTCTAAACCGCCTATGTCCATTATACCATGTAAAAAAGCTTTTTAATAAAAATTTAGTTACAGAACAGACCATCGTACTACATCATATCATAGAATATCATCTGAATTTCAGATCCATAGATACGAGCATTTATATATATAAAGAAATAAAACAGTTATGTGCTTGTTCTCCAGAAAAATTTGTCGCTTGGCACTTAGGTGGTTGAATCACACGGCTGGCGAAATACTTTTGGTTCATTGCAAACCAAAATTTTATTTACAATTCAGCCATCCTTATAGTACGGCTAGCCTGTCAGTCTAACTGTCCTTGAAGTACTGCTAGCCAAGCCATCTAGCCGTACTTAGGTAAGCCCCTATTGAACGAAACCTTTTTGAGTACACAAGTCTCATTAGTAGGTCTAATTATTCAAGTAAAAAATGCATGCACTGTCACTATCAGTGAGGCACCTTTGCCTTTTAGTTTCGTATAAAAAACAAATAAGCCCACTTTAATTATTAAGTACGGCTAGCCTATCTGTCTAGCCTGCCAGTCTAGCCGTCATTAACCCTCATCCTGCGGGAGCCGGGTTTATGTCGCCCGATAAGCCTATTTCGGCACCTCGCCTACGTTCTGGTCCCGAATCAGTGTAGCCCCTGGCTCAGCGCACACGCAGCGCGCATCCTCTTACGTGTCATTCAGGTCCCGAGTCTGATCCCCGTTCATGCAGGTCAAGTGTGTGTGCGTCAGTCTGCTTAGAGTTTGTGTGTGTTTGTGGCCTTCTTCTAGAACCGCCTGCGTTGGTTCGTAATCGAGGCATATGTCTCATTCAAAACATGCCAAGCTGGTAGCTCTAGATGTTCATCCAATGAAATTATAGAAGAAATTGACCCACTTAGACATGAGGAGCTCGAAAGGATAGTCAGGAAACAAGACTTCCATTTTTCTATACAAAATATTTCAAATGAGCTTGATTTTGTATGAAATGATACTACCTGATAAAAAATAAGCTTGTTTGATAGTTATGAATACCATTGTGCAGGTACAAAAAAACAATTTGAGTGTAAAACATTCGGAAATTTACCTAAATTATCCCCTTTTGAACCTCAGGTCATTCATAACAACAAGAACGTCCAGAAAGATAAATTCGAAGGGGCGTAACTACTCGTAATGTCTTTTATCAGCTTGTGAGAGGGGGCTATTCATGTGTTTGTAACACTTTATAAATAGAAAGCTATGAAAGATAGAGAGTTATTTTCATCATCGATTAACACACTCACGCGGTTTTCATGGCGAAAACACACGTTTCCCGGCGCGCGCGCTGTACACCAACAGTACACACTGAGTGACCCCGGCGGCCTGCCTGGCACGTCCGATGTAATCGGTTGCTGATAAGATACGCATCTGGGCACAGACGCAGGATAAGAGTTAAGTACGGCTAGCCTTTTGGCGGATTTCACGGTAAGATCTAGGCTAATTTTAGGTTTTTAGTGTAAAGCCAACCTACAAGAATCTAGATCTCTAGATCTAGAGTCCAGATTACACTCAAACTTAGAAAAATCTAGCCAAAAATGTTACAAGCCAAAGTCAAAATGTTAACGGAAAGGAAGTGGCTATCCTCACCCGTGGTGAGAATAAAAATACGATCGATCTCTCACCCCGGGTGAGACTTGCCACCGTTGGCTATTCTCACCCGGTGTGAAACAAGACCTGTTTTTCCTAATTTCGGAATTCTCTATCGGTATGGATGATCAAATGGAAAAAAAAACAAAGAAAAAATTACATTATAGCACAAAAGTAAGCTAATTTGATCGTCTACAAAGATGCTATGGCTATTTCACTTTTCGAATTGAGCCGAAGTACGTGGGTCGCCATTTTGTTTTGCCCGGAAGTTCTTGTGCTACTCCTCTCTCTCTCTCCACTGCCCACAGACAAAATTGTACGCTTTTAGGTTAACAGTAGTAATGGAACATTTGTTGGTGCTTTTTCGGTAGTTCCCACCCCACTTATTTGAGCCTGACCTAGATATCTACAAGTACATCTAGATCTATACGTTTGATTCGCGGCGAGCTAAGATATCAAACCTAACAACTGCAAACCATTAACTTGTGGTAAAATTCAGGGGGGCATGCCCGACTGAAACCCCCCTACTCTTGGGGCCTAAACCAGTGAATAACGATTGCGGGGTGAGAACTACCGAAAAAGCGCCCATTTGTTCATGGCTCAGAATTCTACAATTTTTCTGAGTAGAATTCTGTGGTTCAGGGTGAATGTTACACTGGTTGGCCTAGGCTAGGCTATAACAGGGTGAACGCACACCGGGTGAGAATAGCCAAGAGACTCGCCTGCGCTATTCTCACCTGGGGTGAGAATACAGGTGGCCTAACCGTAACGGAAAATCCATAGAGATCTAGAGTTAATCCTGTGGTGCGATATATAAGTAAGCGATCTTTTGTGGATATCTCTGGAAGTTACAGGTCGATCTTCATGATTTTTTCACCAGAAGTTAGAAAAACTTCCTCTCTATACAGTGTAGTGCATTACTGTAACAGCAATTTAAAATTCCTATATGTTGTGGTGGTGTTTGTTTAGTAACGTGAGTCTGGTTTGAAGCGCAAGGTGTCTTGTTTGGTGCAATATATATCGTCTGGTTGGGTGCGCAATAGTACCATGTTTACAGCTCTCGATCTATATCTAGCTCTTTTCTGACACTTTTCATCTTTCTCTATCCTGGCCTTGTCTTCTTTTCCTTGCAAGAAGTTCCTGTACTGACCATAATGGAAGGCCTTGAGGTCAATGAGGCGTGTTCTTTTTGGGAGCTGTGCGTCCCCTGACAGGAGATTTCCTTATACCGTGTGTAGGTGTTTTGATAAATGAATAAAAAGAAAGGTGCTGTGGACACAAAAAGGTGAAAGAAGAAAACAAGAATTAGTATTTTTAAAGGAAAAGGACAAAAAAGAAGAAGAAAAAGACGTGAAAAGAAGAAATTGAACATTTTGGAGATTAAATGTCCATATTAATTAATTTTGACATGAATACATTAACTGATCATCTTCCAATGGCAATATAATGCATCCAAACGGAAGGAAAACAGTCTGTTTCAGTGCACAATGCAGGTCATAAAGAAATTTATAACTTAATTAAGTAAAACAACCGTAGGGCCTAGAAGCCACACTATCAATGCCAAATAGCAAAGAAGCCGATATTGCGCACTGAAACGGACTGCACAAATTTGGTCTGCTTCAGTGCGCAACCCTATCTGGCATGTTCCTGGGCATTAATGATTAAGAAGCAGCCTGCGATAGTATTTATCGATTCTAGTATACATTCTACGATACATTAGAGCTCGATCTATATTAATTAGATGTGCTAAATAATCGACTACTCAAGCGCTTAGTAAATTCACCGATACCGGTTACGAAAACCATCAATATGATTGAAGGGGAAAAACTTTCCGACACCGTAGAATCACGTGTGTTGACAGGAACCTCCAAAACGAAAGTGAAATAAGCAGCATTCTGCGCATGCTCAAAGAAAGTGACCTCGTTTTCGCTGTTCTTATCTAAAACAAAGCAGGAGACCGGGGGTTGTGCACCCAAACAGCAAGCGGTGACGCTGTTACTGTGTTAGTGTTGTTAGACTCTAGGCTAGATTTATAGAATCTATTCTAGAATTCTAGATCTAGTCTAGATCTAGATTACACTATCTCTATAATTTTTCATATTTTCACTTTTATATTACCATTGTTCAATTACAGTGTAACTTAGTGTAGGTAGTCTATTCAATTCATCATTCATTTCATGGTCATGATTCATCTGAACCCATCATGATCTTTCCGCACTCAACATTAGTACAAAAAGACACTCGCAGAGAAGGGCAGACCCAACAGTATACCAATTTTTTCGCTATTGGGTACCTTCACAGATTTAAAGATTGTAGATTCTACCTATCTTATTTAACTTCCATAAAGCATGACTTACCCATCTCTATTTATCTAGAAAAATCTACCCACGGAGAATGACAAGCAAAAGAACACGGACAAGAATCGGCTCGGCCAGAAGCTTGATCAACACGGCGACGTGGAATCACGATAAACACAACAAAGAGTTCTATTTCCTGTCCTAAGGGAAGAAGGGAACCGAGCATTCTTTATAATTATAGGCCCCAACCCTTTGCAGATTGCAACTTTTCATAGGTCCATTCACGGTCTGAAATCAATGAAACTGTTTTTATTTAAAAGCAAAAGATATGACTAGAAAAATTACAACTTGTTTTGAGCTCTTTTGCAGATAATCAAATTAATTGTACTAATATAGTATGCCTACATTTTGTGATAGACATTCAAGAAAAAGTTCCATGACCGGATGTACTGGACGCTATTAGTATTTTCTTGGTTGTCCCTGAAGAGTTATCCTTACCTGTCTCCACAAAAATTATTAAACAAGAAAAACAACAACAAACAGTCACATACCTGTGTACACCAGTGCTAGTAAATGAAGTTCCTGTGGTTTAGATGTGATATTATAATTACCTCCACTGCTCTAGCAGTTGCTGTGATAGCCGTGGCACTAGCAGGATTCCTGATAAAGAAAGAACTGGACGATTCGGATAACACCGAAAGACATTGCAGGTGAGAGTAGCCTAAAACTTGAGTTGGTCAGAGTCCACCAAAAAACAGCTCGTTGGGTTAGCGTCTAAATGTCTCCATGACCTAAGTCTTGTGTAATGGTCTTGGTCAAATTTGTGCAGGCCGAGACCGAAGTTTGAAGTCGTATAGTATGATATTAAAACGAAGTCTCTATGTTTTGCAGAGGTAAGGATACATACGAAAGAATCTAGAATCTAAATCAGAAGGCTAAATCAGTACCACCAGAGACAGAGAGCAGAATCTAGCCTCTTCTGGTCATTGGGAGAATCATGTAATTCACTATATGACTGTCATATATATAGATCTACTGTGACCAAGCGTTTTACGAGGCCTTTTTGTTTATTGTTGGGTGAATAATACACTGGGTAATGCACTTTTTTAAAAGGGAAGTTGCTCTGTTACACATGATGATGATGCGCTTTTACAGACCAGCTCCTCTGCTAGGCTAGTATTCTATTCTCATTTAGATCTTAAAGTATTAAATTAGACTTTATATAAAGTTCTCTAACTCTTTTCAAATTGTTGACATGGTTGAAGAAGTCTTCTGGGCTCCTGACTCTTTCTGCAGCCTTTCTACTTCCGAAGTGATTATTCGGACTCGAGTCCGAATAAATTATATTCTGACTCTGAATTGATATGAATCAAGCATGACGTCCGTTCCGACATCCGACACTAAATATTTCCAGCATTTACGAACATTTTTTCAAATAACAGTCGAGACGAAAGTTTTAATATCCAGTTACTAGATCTATCTAAACTGGCCCTCCCTGCATCATTGGTATATATGTATGAACAATTATTAAGTTGAGCTGACCTTTCCGGGGACAAAGTTTTAATTATGTAGACCAATGAGACTGCGCGTAGCGATCTCGCACTCTCGGCTTGCTGGGGGAAGAGGTGTTTGGAAGAGGACACAGCTTTCGGTTTTGTGCTATAACGTGATAAAAGAAAAGAACATTGTAGAAAAACTTTAATTATAACACACTACAAAATGAAATTTTATTAAACGTAAGACAATTGATGGTGGAAGTAATTATGGTGCTGCAGTGGTGGTGGAAAGACCCTGAGTAGTCGGTTACTGTGTACTTAAACACTACCATTGGGTAGATCTAATGAGAGTGCAGTCTTTTGACTTTTGACGCAATTAATCCAAGCAGGCAATTCTAGTTCTAATTCTGGTTATACGTGAAATCCTCCGACGACTTATAAATATTATTTTCAGCTTAAGAAAATTGGCAGTGTAAGAAATTATTTAACTAAAGCAGCAGCCAAGACACTTGTAACAACACTCATTTTATCAAAGTTAGATTACCATGTAATTATGTTATTTTGTCCGGTTTGACATCCGAAAAACTATCAAAGTTACAAGTACTCCAAAATCAAGCAGCAAAATTGATAATGAAACAAAAGAAATCAGCGCACGTAACACCAATTCTGAAAGAGAACTACACTGGCTGCCAATAAAAGAAAGGATCAAAATACAAAACTGCCGTTCTCTGTTTTAAATATGTGTGTATAAATGATAGTGCACCTTTTTATCTTACATTCCTGGAATTATATCATCCACCTAGAGTCCTTAGATCAGCCTCTGATAATCTAATTCTTAAAACTCCAAAACAAAATTACAAAACATACGGCGAGCGTTCTTTTTTGTTCTTTGGTCCCCAGGTATGGAACGAACTCCCATTAATTAGATCTGCCCCAACAATTTCCGTTTTCAAAAATCAGCTGAAGCATTTTTTATTCACATAAGCATACCTGTCATAATGATGTACTGTGAGATGTGTATGCCAGACTGTGAGACTGAAGAAATAGCGAGTGAGAATGAGAGAGAGATAGAATAGAGAGAGAAAAGAGAGAGAAAAGAGAGAGAGATAGCGAGAGAGAGGGAGAGAGAAAGAGAGAGAGAGAGGGAGAGAGAGAGGGAGAGAGAGAGAGTGAGAGAGAGAGAACGGAAATATTTTTCCATCTGTATAGAATAAATGTTTTAATGAATGTTTCTAGTTACTCACGTTTCCACTTTATTTTGACCGTTCGTGAATTTTTATTGCATTGTATATTTTTAGTGAACACATTTTCAACCTCACTGCGAGACTATTTTTCTCATGTATAAAATTTTACACATTATATATCATTTATATTATGTATAATACTTTGTTTTACGTACACACTTGTCGATTAATTTTTAAGATGTGATGTCTTTTTCATTGTGATGCGCATTGAGCATCTTTTAGGAAATGGAAATGCGCAGTATAAATGCTATTTATTATTATTATTATTATGTAACCTCCTTACACTCACTAGACTCACTTAGAAGCTGAGTCCGAAGAAATAAAACATTTTTTTCAGACCTGAGTCCGAATAGATAAAACCCATTCGGAATAGAGCTGCCCTTCTACTGCTACTCCTTGGCTCCTTGTTACTGTAAATCAGCCACACCCCTTATCTTCTGGGTAGGAAAAGTCTACACCTAGGCCTTCTTGGACAAGGGCGAAATATCTAGGAGGGCTCATGTGCAAGTTGTGCGCACGTTAAAGATCCCTTGGTGGTCTAAAATCGATAAGAGTAGACTTCGGCCGCCGCCCGGGCAAACTTTAAAATTTCCTACCAGCTGAAAAAGTTTAATTTAATGTCCCCCGCGCTCCTGACCTATGCTGTGGCGAGCGCCGTAAAAAACACTTACCAAAAAAAAAAAAGAAGTCCTACTACTACTACTACTACTACTACTACTACTACTACTACTACTACTACTACTACTACTACTACTACTACTACTAATGCTACTACTAGCTACTACTAGTACTATTGGAGTCTGTAGGCCTACACAGTAGTACAGTTTCTCTCACTCAGTACTCATACTTTATATTGTCAGTGTTGTTAGTGTTAGGCTCCTATCAGTTCCATGCAGCGTGTTAAAAGTACAGTAGACTTTATAATTTTTTGTTATTTATAAAGTAAATTATGTTCCATGGTGCTTTCAACATCCTAAATAAAATCATGTTTGAATATATAAATTTGCAAATTAAAAAAAAATGTGTTCCTAGCAGTGGTGAACTGGACTGGAATCTGTCCTCCAAACATTTTGTGTGCTAGAGAGTGGTAGTGCCCTCCTTCATTTTCAACTTTTCAAGTTAGTTATTATTATTATATATATAGATATGATAATATAAAATTATTTTTGATTGGAAGACTGCTGTTTGTTGCTGTTGTTACTATGGGGTAGGGTTTGGCAAAATCTTCCCTTTAAAACCAAAACCCTTACATACAGTTACACGAATCCAGTAATTGTAATTTAACGCTATCCGTATGTTGTGTTTTACTGTCATATCCAGACAACTTGGGGAACTGTGCCACCACTTTCCAAAGAGGAAATTTACTTGTTTTAATCCGATTCTTAGCCTGCACGCTTTGCATGTCTGTCAAAATGATTTTTTGAGAAATACTGAAAAAGTTACAAAAAGAGATTTTTCATATAGAAGTATTCTAAAATGTGATGAATACAACCCCGGGGATACAAAATGACCTCAGGGGGTATGGATAGGGTTAAGAAACCCTAAACCTGTTCCAATTCCTACCCCAACCCTTGCCTTGTTACTTGGATCCAGCAAATAAAATAGGTGCGGATCGGGAAGATTGCTGGGTTTGGCCTACTTTCTTATTTTACTTTTGTTATTGATTTATTAAGGAGGCCTGTCCCATTTTAATCAAATGAGAGGAAAGTTAAGAAACGCCTACATAATTTATCCTCAACTTCTTTCCAGGGTGTGTTACTGGCAGAGTGGATTATCAGCAGAGATTGCTTTTTAACTCCATCTTTGATCTGTTTTCAGTTAGAAAAGGTTTAAAATCTATTCTGTCTAGAAAATGACATGGATGTGCTTTTTGCAATAGAAGTTAATAATAAAAAACAAAATTCACAAGGTGGTCTTAACTGAACAGTAAACAACTTTAATCATTTATGTGAGGCAGTGTAGTGAAATCAGGCGCTCGTCAAAATAATGAAAGTGAAGAAACTGTCATTTTTCCGCAGGTTTTGGAATTTTTATCAAATTTTTATTTTTTGGCTCAATACCTTTCATGCCCTTTATAAAACATATTTCTGTGTTGATAAAAGGTGTAAATTTTCAGTTTCCACGAACTCTCAAGCTAAGAAAATAACGCATCTTTGACGGCCATTTTCTCGCTAATTTTACCTCTGAAACCAGGCGACCCCACCTCCTTCAATCACCAATATAATATCTTGATGTTTACAAAAGATATAAATGGCTATTTTTTCCATCAAAAGCAAAGCATATGGACAAGCTTTAAGATGATACCAATAACTCTATATATGCCCAAAAATTGAAGAGTGCCTGGTTCCACCGTGTCGTGACTTATGTGTTGAATGTTTTGCTTTTTAAAAAATGAATGAGAGTGAAAGTATCAATCTTGATCTGATTAGTAATTGAGCTCTTTAGACTTGTATAGTATATGTTCTCAAATTTGTGTATGATAAGCATGTTTTTTTCTTTTGCAGCCATAGATATTATACTTGTTCAACTTTTCAGCCTTTTTCGCTTTGGCAAACTGGGACCTAATGCAGAGGAAGGACAGAGTTCATTGTTCTTCAAGGATAATCCATTCTTTTCAAAACAAATATTTTTCTTCTTTTTTTTCTTCTCCAGGATGACGGATGAAGCTTTGTCAAGTCTTGAGCGTTTCAAGTCAGAGAACCACACGGCCTTTGTTCTTGGCTACTCTGGGGAGGTTGGCAAAGCCCTTGTTGAGGAGCTGAACCAACTAAAAGTTTTTAAACGTGTGGTTCTGATTGGCCGGCGACAGGTGCCATTATCTGTTGGACCAGAATTTGTAAGTCGTTACATCTATAGTTTTTATCTGGTAACTTGGTTACAATGAATTAATTTCACTACACTAACAGTACAGTTTTACATGATGCCCTGAAGTTGTGTCTGAAAACAAACATGAAATTGCTCTGTGAGATAGCATAGAGTTTGTGTAAATATTTTTTTGCCAATTTTTGAGGTTCTTTTTACTGTATTTTGTTCATAATTTTTTCACTACATTATGGTATCTGGATGATTTTGTCTCAGTTAAGGGGCTTTTTGAAGAAAGGGTGGGAGTGAAGAGGAAAGAAGTTATTTGTTTCAAATAATTACCTGTTTGTAGCTGGATGTCAACAAAAGAAACTATTTTTTGTTTGTTGTTTTCAAAGAGTATTGTGTAAATTTCAGTTGGAAAGGATTGTAGTGGACTATGAACTCTTCCTCGGACCTGCTCACTGCAATTTTATAATATACATGCAATTTTTTGGTCCCCCATAAGTCACTTTGATCTCTCTCGAATAGATTAATTTGAGTACTTTTGATAGGCATGGTCCAAAATATTAGGAAGTAGTAACTCAATAAGTTATGCTTTTGGAAGATATTGAATTTGAAGGGTGCTGACATTAATAAATGACAGTCAATGGAGGAAAAAAAGGAGAGAAAGTCGAAAGACTAAGTATATTTAGGTAAATAGCATCCTAGAGTCACTCATTTTTTCTTTTTAAGGCGAAAATTTATGTACAACATTTTGCTTCGTTGTTGATCCATTAGTGCTTTGTATTGCTTCATTTGAATGATAGAAATTTGTCCGCAGAGACATGATGCATGTATGATTTGAACGTCTTATCTGTTCTAAGTGTTCATTTAGAGGACCAAAAAGTTCTAAAACTGCAAGTAGATATTGATTATGTCAGTGTGACGGACAGGCTGACATTCTAAAGTGGATCATATTCAGGGGGGGCTGTATGTGGCTTAGGTCTGCAGCTTAGTTTTGTAACATATGTTGCTAAATTTTTAAAAACAAAATACCGCTATGATTTGATTTGTTATTTTGAGCTCTGCTCAACACATATGCACATACACACACAAATGCACGCTCACACACACACACGCAAGCACCCATGCTTGAATGTGCACATGCACACACACACATTCACACACACACACACACACACACACACACACACACACACACACACTCACACACACACACTCACACATACACACACATGCACACGCGCACACACACACACACACACACACACACACACACACTCATACTCACATTTGTTCTAGAAATGCACACATGATGAGCTATCCATAGGAGGAGGTTGTCATATTATTATGTCATCTTGTTTTAAACGTTTGACATTTTGATTGTTGATGAATTAGAGTCCCTGAACCACTGTTTATGGTGAAGCGAAAGATGTGAGTTCAATTCCCATTAAGCCTTTGTGTCCATTGGGACGGACACTCCCCAATTTTTTTGTCGGGAGGAGTTGGCCTACTTATTCCCCGGATGTGGGGTGTGTATGCTAGACCCACCACTGTCGTGGCGGGCTGTGTTCTTGGTACGGGGCTATAAATAGTCAAGAGGTCACATGAACCCAAGGCGGGAAAAAGAAATGTATGGGTTTCAAAGGGAGATTGGTAAAATTGTTAATGTGCATGTAAACCACATGGTTTACGCGTATACTCTGCTAATTTTGAGGTGCTGATGAGGAATATGACATTAGATTTTTTATCCGAACTCAAAATTAGAATTTTTTTAAAGCTGCGACAGGGCCTTTGTTTGATGAGTCACCTCGCAGCCCGGCTAAAATGCTGCAAGTGGCTTTCCAACTGACATGTGTTTTGTCGGGACGTGTCGTGTTGTGTCTGTTGACACAGCCAAACGGAATTTTCACTGATTTCTTAGAGAAAAAAAATGTACTCCATTTTAACTACCGACTTTCCGAGACACGTACGGAATTGGGTCGGTTGGTTTCTGTCCCAATGGACACAAGCCCTTTGGGAGAATTTTTTTCAAGTATCTCTGTCCGTCAGCTGGATGTATCCCTTCCTGCACAGGGTGTCCCTTACAGGCAGGGTCAAAGCAGCCTGCCTTCTAAATGATCTAAATTGTGTAGATGGTGTGAAATACCTACAAATTTAAAAGAAAGGATCCCTCACTTTACAAAGTCTCTGTTCGTGAGGCTTTAGGCTCCATTTGTTAAAATGTTATATTTCTGGTAAAAGTTACTGCAGAAATTGAACTCATTATTTTGGTGAGTGGGATCACTGTAGACATTCTAGTACCCAAGTGCTGTTGAAATGATCTAAGTCAGCCATCCATTGTTAAGGACAAATGTGGCTGATATAGACAGGTGGTGGTCTTAATAATGTAATTATAATTATTGTAAAAAAAGGCAAGGGGAAAAATGGGCACTGGCTCTTTGTACAGGTGATTGTCTTATACAGGTGACTATTAGGAGCAGGTTCGACTGTGGTTTAAAATGAGGAAAAAGGCTAGATGTCCAAATTTCTGATGGCTTTTTTCTGTTAAATTAATTCATATTTGTAAAGCTTTTATATTTCTTGGAAATACAGTTGCGCCTGCTCTACTAATGGCCACTTGTTCAAGACAATCGCCAGTACAAATGATCACTTCCCTTTTCCCCCCCTTGCATTTGTTTTACATTATAATGACCCTGACCAAGACATCCTGGCTAAGTTGACCACTTTTTTTTCGTGGACAGTGGGTGGCTGTCTTGAATTGATTGGGCTCGACTGTCCTATATTTCAAACCTTTTTTATTCTATATCTTCTTTGTAGGAACAGCGTGTTGTGGACTTTGAGAACCTTGATGACCATAAGGATGCTTTCAAAGATTTGGATATGGGGTTTTGCTGCCTGGGCACCACAAGGGGGAAGTCTGGAGTGGTGAGTCGTTGTTGTTTGAGATTGTCCTTGTGTGGAGTTTGGGGAAATGCCATTCCCCCGTTTGCTCTTTTGTATCGATAAAAGTGGCCCATTAAATAAAATGAAAAGATGGAACCTCTTATGGTGCTCGCATTTTCATATCAAAGGGTTCACTTTGTTTAATGTTGTCTTCAAAGTAAAAGTAGCTTGATAATTTTAAGGATTATTTATGTAACCATGGCTTTTTGACCAGTCGGTCATGACATACAGGAGGGAGGAATGAATGCTTGTTTGTAAGCACCCTTTGTTTGACCAAAAGAAAGAAGAAACATTGGCACTTCAGGGTGGATCTTATTGTAGATCTGATGTCATCAGGCTAGGTTAAATTTTGTCTTTGATATAAACATAATTCCGCTAGACTTTAGTTAAAGTCATAGATGGTTCTGTTCATTAAAATTTACTTCAAAAGACTAGAGCGAGATGCATTGAAAAGGAACTTTGCTCCGCAGAGAGAGAACAATGCAAGATTCGACGAATTTTGTCTGATCATATCTTAAAGGTTTGATAGGATAGCCCTATACGCCTGTAAAACTAACCATGCTGCTTATACTATTTGTACTGTGTTAGTGATTCTAGGTGTGTTGTCTAATGTGTTCCTTCCCCTTTGAGTATCTATGAGAGTATGGGGCTTGTTTGTGGATTTAGAAGGTTGGATTTGAAGCGAAAGAATCGTTATTAGTGATTACAAAGGAATAACAAGGGGAGAAATGATGGGAAAAACTGGCTGTAGTCCCAAGTTCCAAGGAGTATTGACGTAGAGCTGTAGTCCTTGCTCATGGATGATTTCTTGCAGCCAAGTCGTCAAGAAGGTCAGAGTTTATCCCTGTGTTGGTAGTTTTGCTCAAAAAGATGACGATGCAGTTGGACCTGCTTTAATAGTAATAATAGCTACCTGTATAAGACAATCACCTGTACAAATGGCCGTGTCCCATTTCCTCCTCACTAAGTATTGTCATTTTGAGTGAAATTTCCAGTTCAGATGGTTATTTTGAAGTCACATGAGACTTCCAATTGAGGCTTTCCCAACGTTTTATATATATAAATTATAATCTTACATCATTAATAAAATCCAACAAACTACTATGCTCTGCTGGTGTTGCTTAATTGATAAGCTGACTTCAAGCATAATGTAGATTTGATTTGTCTTTCCATATATTGTGAAGGTAGGAATTTTATTTAGTGTTTTAGGTTAGGCCTTTGGCCTCATCATGCAAAGTATAAACATTCTACATAGAAAGATACTTTATTGAAACAGCGTAAATTTCTTCCCATATATGAATATTCTCCATAACACAATTTGTTTAACTCCTACGATGGGCTATGAAATCCCTCTTGTTGTTAGGAGGAGACCAAATTTGGGACCTTGATAATGTTTTGTTATTTGTCTAAGAGGTTTTGTGACTTCAAAACCTCTGTTTGGTCTTTGGTTTCTTTGCAAAGTATTATAGACATTTACAATATATCATTTAGTAAACGGAACGTCGAGCCCGGTGATGGGAACAAAGGAAAAGGAAGAAAGGAAGAAAGAAAGAAAGAAAGAAAGAAAGAAAGAAAGAAAGAAAGAAAGAAGGAGAGGATGCTCCACCAAAGTAAACTCACACATGTGTTTCTCATTGTTATTGTGTTCCCACATGATGGAGTTGGTGTATTGATTACTCATCCGTCTGCATACTACGCTGAGAGAGAGAGAGAGAGAGAGAGAGAGAGAGAGAGAGA